TAAGAGACAATTATCCTAGTTAGTGGAAGATACTGTTTGCTAGGAGAGTCTGCCACTGCCCTAGTCAAGGGTGTGGGGGGGCGTTGGGGAGGTGGGCAAGGAGGGGAGATGTGCATCTGTTGCCTTCACTTAGTCTCAGGATAAGCAAATCTGTACCAAAAATAAAATAGCCAAGTTTATCTGAATACTGATGTTGATAGGGAAATTGCATTGCAGTGGTGGTAGTATTAACAAGTAATTTTGCGATAAAATTTTGATTCTAATTCTTGTAGTATGTATGTTTGCATCTGTTCATTTTGATTTTGTGCAGTTTAATAAGTTTGCCTACTGAAAAAGTAGGCCCTTTTGTGTATGGATTAGTGTTAATATTTTTTAAGAGATGATTTTTTTTTAAAGATTTTATTTATTTATTTGAGAGAGCAAGAGCAAGCCAGAGAGCACTAGTGGGGTGAGAGCACGAGCAGGGTGAAGGGCAGAAGAAGAAGCAGACTCCCTGCTGAGCAGGGAGCCCGATGTGGGGCTTGATCCTGGGACTCCAGGATCATGACCTGAGCCGAAGGCAGATGCTTAACTGACTGAGCCACCTAGGTGCCCCGAGAGATGATTTTTTTTTTTAAGATTTTATTTATTTTGACAGAGAGAGAGACAGCGAGAGAGGGAACACAAGCAGGGGAAGTGGGAGAGGGAGAAGCAGGCTTCATGCTGAGCAGGGAGCCTGAAGCGGGACTCAATCCCAGGACCCTGGGATCATGATCTGAGCTGAAGGCAGATGCTTAACGACTGAGCCACCCAGGTGCCCCAAGAGATGATCTTTTAGCATATTTAGAAATAGACATTAAGATGGGTTCCCTGGGTGGTTCAGTCAGTTAAGCATCTGACTCTTGATTTTGGCTCAGGTCATGATCCCAGTGTCGTGAGATTGAGCCCCGCGTTGGGCTCTGCACTGAGCATGGAGCCTGCTGGTCCCTCTCCCTCTGCTCCTCCCCTGCTCTCTCTCTCTCTCTCAAATAAGTAAATAAATAAAATCTTAAAAAAAAAGAAATAGACATGAAGAAACATTAATTATAACTGGTTTTAATATGGACATCTATCCAGCTTAGAATATATCACTAAGGTGAGGTATTTTCTCAGTAACCTTTCCCTCGAAGCCTATACTTTTGTGTTACTTTGTGGATTTTTACTACAGCTAGGAAGTGAGGCTGGGAAATTGTGAATTTGTTTGCTCTGTGGAAAAGAAAAGGTCAAGAATGAGTAAATATATTGGCTTGTTTATTCCCTTTCCTTTTGCACAAACTTATCTTCAAAGAGTGTATTTAAAGTGGCTCACTAAAAATACTCGTTTTGAAAAATGTTTCAATTTTTTAAAGGAAACCAGCATTATTCGTACTATTGGTAGTTTTTACATAAAAATTCGGTCACATATGAATATTTTTATACTGGTATGAAACCGCCAGAGATATGTGATACTTTAAAAACTGCAGACTTGACATTTTCAGATTATACAAGCAAATGGGTCCATAGTAATCTTATAAAATATAGAAAAGTATTAAAAAAAACCCTACAATTTCACATTCTAGAGAGAGCCATTGTTAACATTTTGCTATATTTTTTATGAATATACATAAATGGCTTTATATTTATTTGTGATTATACTGTACATGCCTCATATTCAGCTTTTAAAAATTAGCATTATGTTCTAGACATTTTTTTTTTTAAGATTTTATTTCTTTATTTTAAGAGAGAAAAGAACAGGGGGGAGGGGAGGGGCAGAGTGAGAGAGTCTCAAGCAGACTCTGCACTGAATGCAGAGCCTGACTAGGGGCTCAGTCCCACGACCCTGATATCACAACCTGAGCCAAAATCAAGAGTCAGCTGCTTAACTGACTGAGCCACCCAGGCGCCCCGCCCCTAGACATTTTCTTATGTTATGTGACCCATTTAAAGTAAATTTTATTTTTAATTAGATTTACAATAGAAGTAGAGACATCAGAATTGCATCTATCTATAAAAACTAGATATTATTAGAGATCAAGTCTAAGATTTTTTGGTGGGGGGAGGGCTGGGAGAGGGTGGGAAATCAGACTAAAGTATTTGAGGATGGGAAAAGATAACAGATATTTTTTCCTTTCCCCACCCCTGAACATTTTTAATTAAAGGGAAAGAGAAAAAAATTTTTCCACAGGATTCTTAAAAAATGCTTTTTAGGCTAGCATACCATTGTATATAAACTATATAAGAACTTTATGACCAAAGTAAGCTTTTTATGATGGATTATATTCCCAAACCACTGAAATTACTTGAGCTGTAGGTGGCATTTAAAAAAATATTTTATAATTTACTTATAAGAAATTTTCAAACCATTGTAGTGTTCCCAGTTATCGTGTTAAAGTAAAGCTGTTATTCCACCTTCCTGAAGAGTAAGAATAGTACATAATATTATGTAAAAAACACAAATATACAAGCTTAAAGACACAAGAAAGGTGTATGCCACAGTAATGCGCTAATAAAGCAGTAAAGATTATTTCCATATAATGGAAATTTTAAATGTCAGATCAATCTTAGTCTATAGACTATAAAAATATTGAACAGTATAGAAATTTAGGTATGATTTTAATTTAACAGAAAGCATTTATCATAGGTCACTTTGAGGCTCCTATTAATATTTACTTACAGTTCAAGTGCAGAGTGAAGCTTTTCACAGAATGGTAAAAGAACATAAAATCCTTTCTTTTTATCAACCTCTGGCACATTTTCCAAGGGTTTCTACCAGGTACTAGAAGCTTTGTGATAGTTACACATCATTGTTTAATTAATCCTCTGGAAAGTGCTGTGCATTGTACAAGATGTGGAACCTCAAAGAAAGATGAGACATTGGCTCTGTCCTTCAGTTTATTGTTTACAGTTTGTTGTTTACAGTGTCCTACAGTTTATTGTTTATTGTTTATAGTGTAGTATGTGTGATAATAGAGGTTAAGTACAAACTGCTATAGGAGCATAGTAAAGAAAGCTCAAGATGAGTCAGAGGAGATTAAATTTGGCTGGGCTTTGAAGAATGAATAGTGTTTCCAGGTAATGATGGTGTGGAAGGACACTCAAGGCAGAGGAAATGGCTTAGGAAAGGCACAAGGACATTGAAGTATATTGTCTCTCGGAGAAAGAAGATGGTTTATTGAGACTGGGGCACATGAATATAAGGAAAAGAGGGTAGTAGAAGAAGAGGAAGGATAACATGGAGCCCAGAACTGAAGGTTCTCATGTATCTTGTAGGCAGTTTTACTTTATCCTACAGATAAGACGGAGCCATTATATATTTTGCAGAGGGACTAAAGAACTCTACTTTGCATTGAGTTTTTTCTTTTTTTAAGAAAGTTGGACATTTGGAATAGGAAGACAGAAAAACAAAGTATGAATCAAGGAAGGGACAATGAAAACTAGTATGTATTTAATGAGAGCCAATGCCAGGTGCATATCTGAGACTATATCTTCATTTTGAGTATGGATCAGTTAACCGTATAGGCAGGTTAAAAATTTAGGCATGAAAAAAATTTAGGCATGCTGGCAAACTAATGATAAAGTACTAGTGGAGCTTACCATTATGAATCTATAATCACATAGACTCATGGAATGTCCACACAAGAAGAGTCTTTCATGATCATCCATTGTGTGGGCCTTTTTAAAGGAACTTTTTAAAGAAAGCAGCATGATAGTAATTTTACTTTTAGATTAATCAGTTGGTTGAGAAAATATAAGTGAAAATCAGTTATTAAAAGCATTGTTCAATGTTTTACCTAATCACAGAAGCATCTACATATATTTGAAAAATAGCATACTTGTGAGACATTTAGCCTATAGCACTGTATAGCTTAGTGATTAAGGACTCAGACTCTGGAATCAGAACCTAGTTTGAATCCATTACCTGCTAACTATAACTTTGGATAAGTACTTGTCCTTTTGTGCCTCAGTTTTCTCATCCGTGAGATGTGAATAACAATAGTACCTACTTCATAGATCTGTCATATGGATTATAAATGAGTTAATATATGTAAAGAGTCTGGGACAATACCTAGCACATTTTAAGGGCTATTGTAGAAGTCCTTGTTTTGCATGCAGTAATTCAGAGACCTTCTTCTAAGTTTTTCTTTTGTTGTCCTTAGATTCTTATTCTGATGAATGATTGATGGGGTCTTTGAATAGTATGTTATTTAAAAGATATTATTTTTAGAAATTTGTGTTCACAATTTTATTTCACCCTTTTTGAGATCTCTGCCCACCTGCTGCCAAAACATGCCTTAGAGTTATCAATCCCTTCTTCCTTACTTGTGGTTCCTGGAGAGAATTAAGTCCTAATTCCCTTTGGAACCCTTTTTATAAACAGTGAATTAATCTCTCCCCTGTATATCTACAGTGGTACTAATATTGTACCATTCTTCAAAGAATTGGGAAAATAGTCACTCAAATGATCTTCTGTGGTCCAGGTGAGGAACCCCAAATGTTAGAGGACACATAAATCAGGCCATCTTGGCTGCTCTGTTTTATGGTGGTAATGATAATGGCAGTGCTTTCATCTATCTCCCAAGGTCTCTTTTGTATTTTTTTTTAAATAGACTTTTTTCTTTAGAGCAGTTTTAGGTTCATAGTAAAATTAAGCAGAGGGTACAGAGATTTCCCATTGTAATTTTTTAGTTTCTGTAGCCTTTATCATTAAGCAAAAAGTATAGTACATAAATACAGCATTTTCAAAATGATTTATCTTTAGGAAATTCCTTCCTACACTGAGATCTCTATTTTCGTCTATACATTTTTTTAAACTTTATCTTCCATACATTTTAAAGTTTTGATTTTCATACTTAAGTCTGTAATATACCTGGAATTTATTTTTCTCTTTGGTATGATTTAGGGACTTCATTTTATTTTATTTTTTACCATACGGTATATGCCCAGGATATTTATTGAATATTTAATTCTTTTTTCCTTCCAGTCAATTTTTTTTTCCAAGTTCACACCAGACAGGTAATGTGCCGAGGTTGTAGCAAGGTTTGAGGGGAGGCACATGTCACACAGCGAGCGTGAACACCCGGTCATCACGCTTACGAACTACAAAAGGATCCTCCTTCCAGTCAATTTTAATGTCATGTTTTCACATCATTATTTCTGTATATGCCAGACCTGCATCTAAATTCTCTTTTCTGTTCCTTTAATCTATTTGTCTATCCTTGTATCAACATCAAACTGTCTTATTTTAGTTTTCCAGTAATTCATAATACCTAGTAGGTTAAGTCCTTTTACATTTTATTATGCCGTTTCTTTTTCTTTTTTCTTCCAGATGTGTTTTAGAACCAGCTTGTCAGGCTCCTTGCAAAACCTTGTTAGGATTTTCATTGGAATGTATAGATTAATTAGGAAAGAATTGACATCTTTATGATACCATTCATCATTTACTAAATACCTATGGAGTACCTCTGGTATACTGGAAGCTCTGAATATAGCAGTGAACAAAACTCACAAATATCTCCTGACTCATGGAACTTATATTGTAGTGGAAGGAAATAGACCATGAACAAAATAAATAAATTATATGCTCTATTATTCGTAATAGCCCCAAACTGGGAGCAATCTAAATGTCCATCAAATGTGTATTCATACAATGAAATACTCAGCAATAAAAAGGAACAAACTACCTATACATGCAACAACTGAGACAAATCTCAAAAATACTATACTAGGTGTAAGAAGCCAGATATAATAGATTATATATTGTATGATTTTCCATTTATGTGAAATTTCTACAAAAGGCAAAAACTGGAGCGATGGCAGATCATTGGTTGCCTGGGGCTTCAAATGGGAATGAGGATTAACTTTTTAGATAATGGAAGTGTTGTAAAACTGGGTTGTGATGATGGCTGCACAATTGTATATTTGCTAAAACTTAATTGTATGCTTACAATGGGCAAATTTTATGGGATGTAAATCAAATCTCAGTAAAGCTGTTTAAATGTTATACCAATACAGATGAGCCTTGAAAACATGCTAAGTCACAAAGAAGCCAATCACAAAAGCCAGATGTTGTATGATTTCATCTGTATTAACTATCTGGAATAGACAAAGCTTATCGAGATAGAAAGTAGATTGGTGGTTGCCTAGGGCTGGGGTGATTGGGAGGGAAATAGAGTGACTTGCTAGTGGGTATGGGGTTTCTTTTTGAGGTGATTGAAAATGTTCTAAAAAAATTGTGATGGTTGCATAACTCTGTAAAGGCATTAAAAACCATTGAAATTGTACACTTTAAATGGGTGAGTTTTACGGTATGTTTATCTCAATAAAGCTGTTTTAGAAAATGAATAAAATTACTGCTATATATGAAGAAGACCTAGGGGAGGGAGGTGGTGGTAATGGTACCGCACTGTAGCCTCACTGTGAGAAGGTTATAGTTGAGCAAAGACTTGAAAGTGATGAGGGTTTGAGCCATATGGATACCTGGAGGAAGAACTTTCTAGGAAGAAGGGATAATTAACGGAAGATCCTGAGAAAGGAGCCTGTCTGGCATATTTGAGGAGCAGCAGTGAGGCCAGAGTGGCTGAGCAAGGGAAACGCAGTAGGAAATGAAGTTGGGAGATGCAGGGCTATTGTGAGGACTTTGGTATTTACAGTAAGGGAGATGGGGAGTCAATGCAGAATTTTGAATAGAGGAGTGACTCATCTGACACAGGTTTTTTTACAGTGACTACTGGGCTGAAAATAAACTGTAGGTAGCCTGGGTAGAAGCAGGGAAACCAGTTAGAAGGCAGCAATCCAAGAGAGAGAGAACAGTGACTTGGACCAAGGTTGAGGGAAAAAGTGGCCAGATTTTGAATGTATTTTGAAGGAAAAAGCAATAAAATTTGCTGACAGATTGAAGATGAGATGTGAGAGAAAGAGAAGAGTCAAAGAACATGCTGGATTTTTTTGGCCAGAGAAACTGAGAGGGGGAGGATTGAAGATAAAGCAGATTTGGGTTGGGGGGTAAATGCCAGGAGTTCTGTTTTTGACATGTTCGAGAAGCTCCTCAGACATCCAAAGAGATTTGAGTAAGCAAATTGGATTTTAAAATCTGGAGTCTATGGGGCGCCTGGGTGGCTCAGTTGGTTAAGCGACTGCCTTCTGCTCAGGTCATGATCCCAGAGTCCTGGGATCGAGTCCCACATCGGGCTCTCTGCTCGGCCAGAAGCCTGCTTCTCCCCCTCCCACTCCCCCTGCTTGTGTTCCCTCTTACGTCGTCTGTCTGTCTGTCTGTCTCTCTCTCTCTGTCAGTTAAATAAATAAAATCTTTTAAAAAAAATCTGGAGTCTAGGGAAGAAATCCTGAAGTAAAGACAGTATTTAAAGCTGGGATTCCTCCAATCTACCAACACAATATATTTAATAAGACTTTATTTTCCCTTGGGGCGCCTGGGTGGCTCAGTCGTTAAGCGTCTGCCTTCGGCTCAGGTCATGATCCCAGAGTCCTGGGATCGAGCCCCGCATCACGCTCCCTGCTCAACGGGAAGCCTGCTTCTCCCTCTCCCACTTCTCTGCTTGTGTTCCCTCTCTCACTCTCTCTCTCTCTGTCAAATAAATAAATAAAATCTTTAAAAAAAAAAAGCCCTTAAGATAGGCTTTTAAAAATTGTTAACATTTCCCTCTGCAAAGAGAATAAATACATTAATTTTCTTGTATTTCAGGATCTGCAAGATGAAGTTCAAAGGGAGAATACTAATCTGCAAAAACTCCAGGCCCAGAAACAGCAAGTACAGGAACTCCTTGATGGACTAGATGAGCAGAAATCCCAGCTGGAGGAGCAACTGAAGGAAGTTAGAAAGAAATGCGCTGAGGAGGCCCAGCTGGTAAAGTTTGGCCATTCGCTGCTGCCTGTATCTATACCTTAGTTGCTTTTCCTGGAAACATTCTTTGCTTCTTGTTGTTGCTACTGTTGTTGTCAGGTGGCAATCTAGTCAACAGTTGGGGCACATGAAGGAGTTGGAGCCCTGTTCATCCAGAAATTGTAGTACTACTTTTCCAAATTTTAGCTGAAAGTGTGGTACCTATGCCTTCAAGTCCCCTCTATTTCTCTCTTAATTGCCCTTCTCTATCAAAAATATGTACTTCCAAAAAAAAAAAACCCACCAAAATAGTAAACTGAACAAATAAACATATTTGCATTATGGAACATTTTAAATGACAATTCTTTTTTTTAATCTCCCTTTCTTGTCATTCACTCCCATGTTACAGATCTCATCCCTGAAAGCTGAATTAACTAGTCAAGAATCACAAATCTCTACTTATGAGGAAGAGCTGGCCAAAGCTAGGGAAGAGCTGAGTCGCCTACAGCAAGAAACGGCAGAATTGGAGGAGAGTGTGGAGTCAGGGAAGGCTCAGCTGGGACCTCTTCAGCAGCACCTGCAAGATTCACAACAGGAAATCAGTTCAGTAAGTCTTTGTGGCAATGAGAAATATGCTCAAATTGGGCCTCACCATATCCTCTTAGTAAATAATACTTTCTCAGTTTGTGTTCCTTTTCCCACATTTTTCGTTCATTTTATACAAGTACATTTCTTGTTGCCTGTCATAAGTTAAAATTGTCATACATCTTGTACATCTGATTATTATCACTGGAGTCATGGCTAGGGGTATGGGTTTAGGTGTAAGTCTGGCTCTGCCACTTACTTCCTGAATCATCTTAGTATCAGATTCCTCATCTTTAAAATTGGAGAATTAGTACTTCTACCTTTTAGGTCTGCTGTAGGGATTAAATGTAAAGGACTAAATGCTGTGACACAGTTTAGCAATAAATGCTAAGTGTTGCTTATTTTTATAAATACCGCCCCCCCATGAACATTTGCTTGTTTGGAGACCTTTATTATTTTAATTAGGGAATTGTTCTTTATATAGATAAACATGCTGTGTTGTGTGGGTCCAGAGTATAGATCTTTTGCTTTGTTATTCTAGGCTTCCCTAAATGGAGAGTAATATTTTATAGAATGATAGTAAGATAGGAGGAGAGAGATCATGTAGCTCATTCTTTTCATTTTGAATTTGAACGAACTGAAGCCAAAGAAGGTTAAGTAATTTACTTATGGTTACATTGCCTTTAAAAGAGCCACAGCCTAGAATCCAGATCTTCTAACATGTAGTCCAGTGTTCTCAGTTAATTATTATGTATAATGAAGTCCTACCCCTTGATATGCTTTCTTCCCCTCTCTTATCTGACAGGTGAATACCTCTCACTCATCTCGCAAGACATAGCTTAACTTTTTATTTCTTTATAGCATTTTCTGAACCCTGCCTGTATTGGACTCTACTTCTGTTACAGCAAGAGTAACATTTTCCCCTGCATATTTGTTTATGTGTCTGTCTCCCCCAGCTGACTGAGCTTTTTGGTCTAGGAACTTAAACATTTTTTTTTCTCTCTTATCATTTAGCACAGTTCTTATCCTGCTGTAGGTACTCAATAAACAGGTACCCCAAAAGAAGGCTGTCCTAGTGGGAATGCTACCAGCTGAATGAATATTCTTTAAAATAATTTTCTTCTTTGAGTTTATTTAAAATTTTTTTAATGAATAATTTACATACCATAAAATTAACAGGTTTTAAGGGTACGATCCAGTGATTTTCAGTAAACTTAGAAGTGCTCAATCATCACAATCCAGTTTTAGAACATTTCTATCACTCCTAAAAGATCCCTTGCACCCATTTGTAGTGACTCCCCACTTCTGCCCCTAGGTAAGTACTAATTTGCTTTCTGTTTCTATAGGTTTGCCTTTTCTGAGCGCTTCATGTAGATGAAATCAAACACTATGTAGTTTTTTTCATGTGGTTTCCTTCACAAGCATAATGTTTTTGAGCTCATCGGTTTTGTAGCATGTACCAACATTATATTTCATTGTATATTTATAAAGTATTTTGTTTATCCATTCACTGCTTAATGAGCATTTGGATTCTTTCTATTTGTTGGCTATTATGAATAATGCTGCTATGAACATTTGCATTGTTTTCATTTTTCTTGGGTATGGAATAGTTGGTTATATTGTGAAGTTATGTTTAAGGTTTTTTTTTTTTTAACTTTAAATTGCCAAACTGTTTTCCAAAGTCGCTATACCATTTCACATTCCCACTAGCAATATATGAGGGTTCCAGTTTCTCCATAATCTTACCAACACTTTATTGTCTACCTAACTGATTTTAGTCATTCTAGTGGGTATGAAGTGGTATCTCATAGTTTCTAATTTGTATTTTTCTTTTTTTTAAATTTTTTTATTAACGTATAATGTATTATTTGTTTCAGGGGTACAGGTCTGTGATTCATCAGTCTTACACAATTTAAAGCGCTCACGATAGTACCTACCCTCCCCAATGTCTTATCACCCAGCCACCTCCTCCCTCACACCCACCTCCACTCCAGCAACCCTCAGTTTGTATTTTTCTAATGACTAGTGATGTTGAATATCTTTTCCTGTGCTTATTAGCCATTTGTATATCCTCTTGGATGAAATGTCTGTATAAATCTTTTGCCCATTTTTAAAAAATGGATTGTTTGTCTAATTATTATTAAATTACAAGTTTTTAAAAATATCTTCTGGATATAAGTTCTTTATCAGATATCTGATTTGCAAATAATTTCTCCCAGTCTCTGGCTTGTCTTTTCATTTTCTTTAAGTTTTTTGAAAGGGAACTTCTTTTTTTTTTTTTTAAATAATTTTTTATTGTTATGTTAATCACCATACATTACATCATTAGTTTTTGATGTAGTGTTCCATGATTCATTGTTTGTGCATAACACCCAGTGCTCCACGCAGAATGTGCCCTCTTTAATACCCATCACCAGGCTAACCCATCCCCCCACCCCCCTCCCCTCTAGAACCCTCAGTTTGTTTTTCAGAGTCCATCGTCTCTCATGGTTCGTCTCCCCCTCCGACTTACTCCCCTTCAGTCTTCCTCTCCTGCTATCTTCTTCTTCTTTTTTTTTTCTTAACATATATTGCATTATTTGTTTCAGAAGTACAGATCCGTGATTCATCAGTCTTGTACAATTCATGGTGCTCACCATAGCACATACCCTCCCCAATGTCTATCACCCAGCCACCCAATCCCTCCCACCCCGCACCATTCCAGCAACCCTCAGTTTGTTTCCTGAGATTAAGAATTCCTCATATCAGTGAGGTCATATGATGATACATGTCTTTCTCTGATTGACTTATTTCACTCAGCATAACACCCTCCAGTTCTATCCACGTCATTGCAAATGGCAAGATCTCATTCCTTTTGATGGCTGCATAATATTCCATTGTGTATATATACCACATCTTCTTTATCGATGCATCTGTCGATGGACATCTTGGCTCTTTCCACAGTTTGGCTATTGTGGACATTGTTGCTATAAACATTGGGGTGCACGTACCCCTTCGGATCCCTACATTTGTATCTTTGTGGTAAATACCCAGTAGTGCAATTGCTGGATCATATGGTAGCTCTGTTTTCAACTGTTTGAGGAACCTCCATACTGTTTTCCAGAGTCGTTGCACCAGCTTGCATTCCCACCAACAGTGTAGGAGGGTTGAAAGGGAACTTCTTTCAACGGAAGGAACATATATGAGAAAAGTAGAAAGGACTCTGGATATTATAAATTATCATTGAGAAAATAAAACTGTTTCTGAGCAAGGAAAATAATCTCAGCAAACTATACTACCAAGTGTGCCAGATAATATTTGCTATCTGTAATCTGTGGAATGAATTATATTATCTCTATCTGTGGAAGGAATTGTATTATATCCTTGCATCTGATCTCCAAACCTTAAGAACAAACATACGGGGGCACCTGGCTGGCTCAGTCGGTAGTGCATGTGACAGCGCATGTGACTCTTCATCTCGGGGTTGTAAGTTCAAGCCCCACGTTGGGTGTAGAGTTTACTTAGGAAAATAAATAAAACAAACAAATAAACCACAGACACACACACACACACACACACACACACAAATACCACTTTCTTACATTTGACGTAGTGACTTATGTGTCTTTCCCACAGAGGGCAATATTTTCCCATGGGCCTATAAAAAAATGAAAATCCAAATTGTAAATTATCCTGAAACTTTAATTGCTCTTTAAAGCTAAACTATAGCTTTTCTGGAAAAAGGAATAACTGAGGAAAAATTTCTGACTTGCTAAATTTTCATTTATACTTCTTACCTTGTATTTATGGTAAGAAAAAGCAAAGAACATATGTACCTCTGTATCTTACTTACACAATATATACTGTTTTTATCCAAATGTTTCTGGCAATCTGATAGTTTATTGCATTTCTCTTGCACAGTTTGCAAAGAGCTTGTGTTAGTTTTGTGATTTTTTTTTTCTATGTCCTCTAAGTTTATGTAGAGACTAAGGAAGAGACAGGCTAAGTGACAGTTATGTGAGAGGGCCAGACACAGGAAAGCCTAGTTTTGTTCAAGATTTTATTGTCTCAGAAGTAACTATAAGAAATAAGCTGTCTTAAATAGTACTCTTTGGTAGGCAAGTATTTCCATGTACTGCTTCATCTATATGATGGTTATTATTTTAATGTTAAGTTTTTAAATTTTAGACTGTAAAGGTTTAGTGGATATTGAAATTGTTTTAATGGTCATGATAAAAATTTTTTTAAAAGATGAAGTAAGACAGGAGTGTTCTGGAGTGTTCAGAGCTTTTTTGAGTCTTTGGTGCTGCTGACCACCCGGCTTGGACCACCTTAGGACTCCGTGAGCTGACCCGGCTTGACATACTGGTAACTAGAAGCGAATAAACATCATCTTATTGCTCTTCAAACGCATGTGGCCTGAGGTGTTAAAATCATTTTGTGAGCTTCATAGGTTCAGTCAGGGATAAGAAAAAAGTCAGAAGGACCATGGCTGGGAAAATAGGAGATACTGGGCAGCCCTGAAGCAGATGGACAAGAGGAGAGTTCTGCTTCTGGTCCCCACAGAAAACATCTCCCTGGCCTGTATAGTCAGTGATTGTGCCCGACTCGGTGAGAAACACTGCCTTATCCATAAAACATAAAATTATTTTTTCCGTATAACATAAAACTGTTTCTTACATGCACATTTGTTTTCCTAATATACATTGCAAGTTTTTCATGTATAAAAATATTAAATTAACTATTGTTAATAATGGAGTACTACACTATGTGCATCTTTTTTTTAAAGATTTTATTTATTTATTTATTTGACAGACACAGTGAGAGAGGGAACACAAGCAGGGGGAGTGGGAGAGGGAGAAGCAGGCTTCCCATTGAGCAGGGAGCCCGATGCGGGGCTCGATCCCAGGACCCCGGGATCATGACCTGAGCTGAAGGCAGACGCTCAACGACTGAGCCACCTAGCACCCCCACTATGTGCATTTTTAAAACAGAAAGTGAAAAGTCTGATGATTCTACCCTCCTGGAGAAAAACAATGTTTGCAGCATGGTATCTTTTTCGAATTCTGTCTGTACGTAGATGCACCTCTCTGTGTGTGTCTGTGCATTCATATGTATACCTGTACAAGTTGTTTTTATTTAGAAAAAATGAAGACATACTTTGTATACAAAAAATAAAATAAGAAGGAAATAAGACAATAGGAAATATGAGGGTGCATTACATGGAATAAGGATACATACTACTTCATGAAACTTTCACAACTGTATGTGCGTGTAAATGATGCATATGGATGAATGTGTATTACATATATGTGTTTATGTATGTATATACACAGAGAGACCTATCCAAATAAATACATATATTTACTAGGTTAGGATGTAAAATCTATTTCTTTCTATAGATTAAGGTAAAAAAAAGTTTATAAGCCACAACTCAGTATCACTAGGAATATACAAGGCATATGCTGTGTATTACAAATGTCTAGTATTTTGGATTGTCAGTTTAAATTCTGAATATAATGCAATTTGATAGATGCATATGCTTACTGATACCCACGGTTTAAATTTATAAGCACAATACTTATGTCCATTCAGTGAACATAAATTAAGCACTTACAGTATATACATCATTGTGGTAGATTTTGGAGGTACAAAGTTGATAGCAAAAGTTGTGGTCCCTACCCTCAAAGAGCTCAAGGTCTTTAACTTTTTAAAAATGGCATGAGTTAGTGGAAAAGAAATAGGGAAACTTAATTGGTATAATAGTGAGAAATGTAGTGCGCTAGGCACTTTTATACACATTGTCCATTATTTACACAGACCTTTACATTTTACAGAGTTCTTTCAAATATATCTTTGCTTCACTTAATCATCTGTGGAGATAGTTCTTACTCACTTTATGGATTAAGAAATGAAGGCTTGGAGAGGTTACTTCGACTAAGATCACTTAACTAGAAGGTGACAGAGCTTGACTGACATCTGTTTTCCCAGTTCAATATAGTGTTCTTTTCCCAGGTTATGAGCCTGAAAAGATCTGTGGTAAATTACAGATTCCAAAATGAGCAACGTAAAAACCTTATGCAGAAAATAAGATTAGGGGAACTGAGCCTTGATTTGTGAAATGTCAGTAGGAAATTTTTATGTTTGCTAAAAACAAAAAACAGCATGCTAATAAAGGGAATTCCAACGTAATGTAAAAAATATATTTTATGAAAACTGGGAACTATTCAGTAAAATTCCATTCATTACTCCTTTTCACTAGAAACATTTTGATTTTGCCCTCTCTTCAATTTCTTTGAGATATTTGTTAATTTATTTTTCTTTATTATAAATGTTAGTATCAATAAGCATCACTTTTTTTCCTGCCTCTGGTCCCAATGTTTTTCTTTTAATATATATTACAGTTTATTAAATTCTGCCTCTCTTTCCCACTATTGCTCCGGGAATATAAAGTCACTTGGATACTGGAATCCAAAATGCTTTGTCCTTTAACATGTTTAGGATAGCTTAGATTTAGGGACCACTTCCTAGGGCTCTAGCCCATTAATAAATAATGCCAGAGCATAGGACAGTAGCTCATTTTACCTTAGTCTTCACTCCTCTCCTTCCCAATAGAAGTATGGATGGCTCCAAATCCTTGTGTGCTCTCCCTCAACTTCCTTTATGTTTCCCAAAGCTTCATCACAAAATCTTCTCTTGTTCTGTTACTTTGCTGTCTTTTTCCCAATACCCTGATCCTTCTTCCAGTTATACCTAAAGGACACCAAAATGTAGATATTTGAATCAAAATTCTTGGAGCTTTCAAAAGATGTGCAAAAGCAAATCCATATATACTGGAATGTCAAGAGAACTTACTAGGATGGATTACTGAAATCTCTCCAAGTCATGCTGCATTCCCAGAGGATTCTCCTTAATGGAAGCAAATTTATTTTTGACTGAGTCTAAGGATGTAGCTATTTTTATGTTTTGTGTCTTTCTAGTAATAAATTCTGTTCTTTATTTCTACTTTGTGTTGACAGATGCAAATGAAACTGATGGAAATGAAAGAGCTGGAGAACCGTAATAATCAGTTAAATTGGTGCAGTAGCCCACACAGCATTCTTGTAAATGGTGCTACAGATTATTGCAGCCTCAGCACCAGCAGCAGTGAAACAGCTAACCTTAATGAGCATGCTGAAGGCCAAGGCAACCTGGAGTCAGAGCCCATACACCAGGAGTCTCCAGTGAGTCTAATAGTTCTATAATGTTCATAATCAACTTCAGAAGAAAAAAATTTGATTCAGGTCAAAGTTTTTGTTGACATCATACTTAATATAAATATGGGACCTTGCCTCATCTGAGGACAGTTGATTTTTTTCCCCCAGAAGGAGAGAATAGGTACTGATCCAACAGTTCTGACACTTTTAACTAGTGTAAAAATGTAATTTTAACCAATCTATTTGTTATAAAGCGTGTTTTCAAAACAGTAGCTCTATAGATAGTAACTTTTAAAACATTTTTTTAGTAGTCTCACCCAATGCTGAAAGTAATTCTTTATTTCATAAAGTTGAGGACATTTATTTACCAGTTATTTAGAGAGCACACAGCAGTGCTGCTATTATATGTGAGAGCCGCAGAGACAAAAAACTGTAACCCTGCCTTTAAGCAGCATGTAGTCTAGTGGTGTAACACTGTGTGAAAGGGCTGTGATATTCAGGTAGGACAGCTTGGAGGGGGGCTCAAGATTGTATAGAGAAAGCTTTATAAGTGAGCTTCAAAGTAAGAAATGTTAAGCAAAGAAGAAGGTGGTATATTCCTGGCAGAGAAAATGGCATTTGCATAGGTATGGGATGGGAGAAACATGTTGCACAGGGTCCCAAGAAGTTCTCGAAGGATACCTTGTAATGGTGGGGGGTATTGGTAGGAGATGAAGCTCTCTTATAGTGGCTCTCTGCATTACCTCTTACTTAAAACATAGATGGCTGCACCCCACTACAAACTTGCTGAACTAGAGTTTCTGGGATGGTACCAGGTACATGCATTTTTACAAAAAATTCCTTGGGTGATTATGATGTGCACCTGGATAAAAATGACCACTTTTACGTCAGAAAGGGACAGAGAGAAAAGAAATTTGGATTCATTTTGAAGCATTGGGGGATTTATCTTACTGCAGTGAGTAGCCATTGAAGAATTTTAAGCAAGATGTGACATAATTGCATTTACCTTTTAGAAAAATGTAGAAAATGGATTTGAGAGTGTGACTGGACACACAGAGATTTGTTAAGAGACTATTGGAGTGGTCTGTGTGAGATTGTTTTAGCCTTCACTTAAGCAGTAATAGGAGGGATAATGAAGAGAGGAATACAAGTTTGAGAGATACTAAAGACATAAAATTAACAGACTTGATTTGTATTTAGGTGTTGCAATCTTGGATACATTATACAATGTTCTTTTTAAGTGCAGAAGGTTATCCTTCAAAGACATAGGGTGGTATGAAAATGGAGATTTCCCCTGCCACTTCTTAAGTCCTGTTACCTACTGGTTTAAATCCAGAAAGCAAGGGAATGCCATCGAAGGACCTTTAACCAGAAGGATCATGATCAGATTCTTATTTTAGATCTATTCCTTTAGCGACTATAAGAAGGATCAGTGGGAAGGGCACATATTGGAGGCAAGAAGGCAGTTGGAAGGTTACGCTGGATCAGAATGGTGATACTGTAAATGAATGATAGTGACAGTGAGGATAGAGGGGAATGGATTTGAGAAGGAGGTAGGAGGTGAACTCAGCAAGACTTGGAGGCTAGCTGGGAGATGACCAGAGAGAAATTATTAAGTGGTTAAGTTTTCTGGCCTGAGTGACTGATGCTTGATGATACCATTTTCCTAAGAAAGATTTTAAGAGAAGAACTCATTTAATGAATGCATTCTGCTTGTCTTCTGTATTTTTAGCAATTTTTGGTTATCCTTTGTCAGTTTCCTCTGCCAAGTAGAAAATACATTGTTAGTCCATGGAGCATTAATATTTTGTAGGCAAGAAGTAGTCCTGAAATACTGCCTTCTGGTGTGACTGATGATAATGAAGTGGCGACAACAGCTGTTAATGAGAAAATTTGCCCTGAATTTAATAGTGACAGACATTCAAAAGAGGTAAAAATAATTTTATAGTAAATATTCTCATTACTGGTTTTCCTAGATGGGTTAAACACTGTTTTAGGATAAGGAAAGAAAAATGTATTAAGTGAACTTTATAACTACAGAAATACTTGTTATATTACCATCCATTGATTTTTCAAAGCATGTTATTTTATTTTAAAATGTTACATCTTAAAACTGGTTCCTAAAAGAATACTTTTTAATTTAAAATTATTTTTAGGGAGATCCATTTAATGTAGAATCAAGCTCACTGACAGATCCAGTTGCAGATACAAACCTGGATTTTTTCCAGTCTGATCCTTTTGTTGGCAGTAAGTACTCTTATTTTTATATTCTGATTTACCAAAAAAAGTTTTTTAATGTAACTATATAAGAATTAGAGCTCAGTTTTGAGATCCTACTCAAAGTAGAGGGGTGTAGAGATGTGATATGCTTATATTTGCTGGAATTTGTCCTCGTCAGGCAACTAACTCCTTGGACTAAGTGACTGATTATGTCTGAGGAGCCCCTCCTGATTAAGAGCATGTTTCTTCTTCAGAATAAGGACGAAAAGAAAGATACTATGGACCAGCAGAGGAGATTAGGTACTCTTAAGTCAACCAGCAATTTTTTACTTAAGTGCCAACACCATGCTTTTAAAACAATGGAATCTATAGCAGTTAGAACCCGGATCCCTGCCCTTAAGGGGCCTATAGTGTTGTTGAAGAAATATAAGTGTAATAAGTTAAAATACCTGATGTCAGTGTAAACTATATTAAATACCACTGGTGTCAAAGCTCTTTTTGCATTTTATTTATTTCCAAATCAATTTGTGAAACTGGTCAGTTTACAACAGTTTTATTTTTTCCTCCAAGTTTTTATTTAAATTCCAGTTAGTTAACATACAGTATAATATTAGTTTCAGGTGTAAAATTTAGTGATTCATCACTTACATACAACACCTGGTGCTCATCACAACAAGTGCTCTCCTTAACACCCATCACTCATTGAACACTCCCCACACCCCCACCCCCGCCCCAACCCACCTCCCCTCTCGTTACCATCAGTGTGTTCTCTATAGTTAAGAGTCTGTTTCTTGGTTTGCCTTTTTTCCCCCCATGATCATTTGTTTTGTTTCTTAAATTCCACATATGAGTGAAATCATATGGTGTTTGTCTTTCTCTGACTTATTTCCCTTAGCATAATACTCTCTAGCTCCATCCATGTTGTTGCAAATGAGAAGATTTCCTTCTTTTTGCTGGCTGAGTAATATTCCACTACATATACACACACACACATATATTACATGCATACAACCCACCTCTTCTGTATCCATTCATCAGTTGATGAGTATTTGGTGTGTTTCTATAATTTGGCTGTTGTAGATAATGCTACTGTAAACATAGGGACGCATGTATCCCTTCAGATTAGTATTTTTGTATTCCTTGGGTAAATGCCTAGTAGTGCAGTTGCTGGATCCTAGGGTAATTCTATTTTTAACTTTTTGAGGAACCTCCATACTGTTTTCCAGAGTGGCTGCACCAGTTTGCATTCCCACCAATAGTGCAAGAGGGTTCCCTTTCTCTGCATCCTTGCCAACACCTGTTGTTTCTTGTGTTGCTAATTTTAGCCATTCTGACAGGTGTGAAGTGGTATCTCATTGTAGTTTTGATTTGCATTTCCCTGATGATGAGTGATGTTGAACATCTTTTTGTGTGTTTTTTGGCCATCTGTATATCTTCTTTGGAAAAATGTCTATTCATATCTTTTGCCCACTTTTTTTTTTTAAGATTTTATTTATTTGAGAGAGAGTACAAGTGGGACAAGCAGAGGGACAAGCAGACTCCCCGCTGAGCATGGAGCCCGATGCGGGGCTTGATCCTAGGACCCTGATATCATGACCTGAGCCAAAGTCAGATGCTTAACTGACTGAGCCATTCAGGAATCCCTGCCCACTTTTTAATTGGATTATTTGTTTTTTGGGTATTGAGTTTTACAAGTTCTTTATATATTTTAGGTACTAACCCCTTATTGTATATGTCATTTGCAAATGTCTTCTGTGGAGCATTTTTCTGTTTTTCTTATTGGCCATTTGTATAACTTCTGTGGAGAAATGTTGATTCAAATAACTTGCCCTTTTTTTATTGTTAGTCTTTTTATTGTTGACTTGTAAGAGTTCTTCATATATTCTGAATACGTCTCTAATCAAATATATGATTTGCAAAATATTTTCATGTATTTTGTGTTGTCTTAATTTTGATGAAGGCCAGTTTATCTATCTTTTCTTTCGTCACTTGTGCTTTTGATGTCATGTCTAAGACCCAAAGTCATGAAGATTTACTCTTAGGTTTTCTTCTAAGAATTTTATAGTTTTAGCTATTACATTTCGATCTTTGATCCATTTTTAGTTAATTTTGGAATATGGTATGAGATAGGGGTCCAGCTTTATTCTTTTGTATGTGGATATCCAGTTGTCCCAGCACCATTTGTTGAAAAGATTATGTTTTCCCCATGGAATTGTCTTGACAATCTTGTCAAAAATCAAATGACCATAAATGTAAGGGTATATTTCTGGACCCTTTAGTTCTAGAATTATTTATTAAAATAATTTTTTAGGCTCAATGTCTTTGTTTCTGGAGTAATGGTAATACCCATTCAGTATTCTTATGAAGTATATGTGCTGCCGAAGTGAGCACCAGTATTCTTATGAAGAGTAGAGAATCCTGTTAGTAAAATTATCACTGTTGTACCTGTCTTTTCCCTTCTGTTTGTAACCTCAGCTTGTGATCAAGGGTTAAGTGTAGTTGGCTCCAATTAAAATTTGCTTCTTTGGGGGCACCTGGGTGGCTCAGTTGGTTAAGCATCTGCCTTCCATAATCCGTTCAGGTTATGATCCCAGGGTCCTGGGATCGAGCCCCACATTGGGCTTCCCTGCTCAGTGGGAAGCCTGCTTCTCCCTGTGCCCCTCCCCCTGCTTGTGCTCTCTTTCTCTCAAATAAATTAAATCTTTAAAAAAATAACAGCAGTCATTAAGAAAATTGCTTCTTTTATGAGGTATGTTGATGTTCTGCCTTTACTCTTTATTATTTTAAATGTTTCCTAAAGCTGCATGGCATTTAGTGTTTTGTCTACTTTCAGGTAGAGCTAATGAAACTGACTGTGCTTTAAGAAACTTTGCTTCTGTTTAAAGTTACCTTTAAGTAATGATGTCACAACAGTAAACATTATTATTGTGATTTCTGCTTATTTTTTTTATCATAGGTGATCCTTTCAAGGATGATCCTTTTGGAAAAATTGGTATGTATATCATTGAGGTCCAACTTAGCTGTAATTTAATTCTGCTTAATTATAAACTTATGTTGTATTTAGAAATGAGAGATCAAAGTAAGGTAGTTATAGGAAGTGGGGTTCCTTTTTATTCAGTTTTTAAACTGATGTAAGGCCCCACTAAAATGCTGTATGTGCCTGGCATTTTCAGAGAGAAAGTGGTAGATTCTTGTGAATTTGCTTAATGAACCATTAGCTTTATTTATTTATTTAAGATTTTATCCATTTATTTGAGAGAGAATGAGAGAGAGAGAGCCTGAGAGGGGGGAGGGTCAGAGGGAGAAGCAGACTCCCCATTGAGTGGGGAGCCCGATGCGGGGACTTGATCCTGGGACTCCAGGATCATGACCTGAGCTGAAGGCATTCGCCCAACTGAGCCACCCAGGCACCCGTTAGCTTTATTTTTAAGAAAAATGACATTAGTGTTTATATTTTGATACTTTAGTAATACTTAGACTGATTTCTCCTTGGTAGCCAAGGATTAGATGCATATAGTGATCTATGCTACTATAGTGTTTAGAACATTTTGTTTTCCTAAGATTACAGCATATGACTTGGGGGAAAGGAAACATCTTAAAGAATTACTAAATGTCAGGCTTTATAAGATAGTCTTTCCCTGGGATTTTACATTAGAATAAATTTTGTGTGCCATTTGTTATGCTTCCCAAACCTGTTCCAAGTAAGTTTATTAGGTGAAAGACTATCTTTTAACAAAATCACAAAGGAATTTGTGATTCCTCCTCCCCTAAAATTAGAATCACCAGCTTAGAAGAATTATTTAAACTTGGCATACAAGTAATCTTTGTGTAATAAGTATTGGAATGATTGATTCGCTTTGGGTGAATGATGAGCAAGTAGGAAAAAGAGTATTAATTAAAGCTATTTTAGGTGCAGCTGTCTATATTTTTTTTATAATCAATAATCATAACGCCAAGTACCTTAATTTAGATTCTGCAGAAGTTCAAAATGTCTTTTAATTAAGGCAGTTATACATTCAGGTGATAGGAAATTTATAGTTTTTAGTCTTTCATATATGTGCTGTATTTTCTTAGATCCATTTGGAGGTGATCCTTTCAAAGGTTCAGATCCATTTGCATCTGACTGTTTCTTCAAGCAGTCTTCTGCTGACCCTTTTGCCACTTCAAGTACTGACCCTTTCAGTGCAGCCAGCAATAGCAGTAATACATCGGTAAGTGGGAGGGTTAAAAACTGTTAAATGGAGAACAAGCATCTTAAGTGAGTGTCTTGAAATATACAGTGTTGAAAGGATCCTCTTTTAGATTACTTCTGATGAGCTATGTAAAAATGTCAGTCTCATCCAGTCCATCTAGTTTTTGGTTCAGACTGGCATTTCACAGCTTTATCACTCCCTGTAATTGGCTGGAATAACTTATTTCATCTAAAAATCAAGTCCATCCTTAATAATAAGGATCAAATATTATCCCATTGGGGATCTTTAAAATGAATGATTTGAAATCCATTAACCAGTCTTAAAGAAAGCTTTTCAGAAATGTGTGGTATGCATTATTGAAATAATAAAAATCAACCTTAAAATAGCATTGATGTTTTAGAAAGATAAAGTCATTTATATTATAGACACATTTTATATATATTATATAACACATGTTAATCTTGTGGAGAAATACAAATTCCTACTAAATGTCAGACTCTCTTTTGTACTTCACAACCTGCAAAGTAGGTGTTGGTAGCCCTATTTTAACAGTAAGGACACTGGGACTTGGAAGTAACCAAGGTCATACAGCTAAGTGGCTTTAAAAAGAAAATATATTATGGCTTTTTAAACATACCCAAAATAGAGTAATATAATGAAATATTTTAAGAAACCTCCATGTATCCATTACCCAATTTCAGTAATTATGAATGGTTTTGGAATTTGTTTGTTTTTATTTTTTATTTGGAGACTTATTTTGTTAAGCAGGATGTTTCACCCAAAAAAGAACAATTGATTTGACAGGCATTTGAAGCAAAAATTTTGTCTTTTAATTCTCTTAGATTAAGAATACTCCCTTAAGAGACGAATTGATTCTTTTAAAGTTAATAGATTTTGTATTCTTTAATTGCTTTCTTACTCTACTCAGTGAAGAGCTATTTGGCTAACAACTGGTATTTTCCATTGATGTAAAAGTGAGCAAGTGCCTCTGTAACTGAATATTTGTGGTTTCCACACACTACTGGATACTGTGTTTTCCTACAACACTTAGTTTGCAGTGTGGACCCATTTGCCAAATTCTTCTAAAATTAGCTGCAACCTGAATTTTTTTCCTCTTACCTTATTCTAGGCTCTTATTCTCTACTCTTATCATTAAAGAGCAAGAGAACCAAAGCAGCTCTTCCTAATTTAAAAATAAAACAGGTTTCTCCTGTTCTTCTCCCCTGATGAAAATTTTCCACCATTTGCTCTATTTACTTTTTCTCTTCCCTCCCCAGTTTGTGAAAGCAATATTGCCCTTGCTGACTGCTCTTGATTTCTCCATTAAAAACAAAACAAAAAAACCAAATTGGCCATATAAGAATAGGTTTGTTTATCTCATCTCTTCCATGTACCAGGCATGGTGCTAAGCTCTTTTCATGTGTTACCCATTTAATCTTCACACTATTCCTATGAAGCTCATGTTACCATCCTCATTTTTAAGATAAAGTAAATGAAGCTTAAAGAGGTTAAGTGATAATAAGTAAGTGGTAGAACTGAATTCAAACTTTGGTCTATCTGACCAAAATCTAAGGTCTTCACCCCTATAGTCCAAGATTTAAACTTAATTTTTCCCAGCTACAGAGCCCTTGTGTTTTGTGATCTTCCTTCTTTTCAAACAGGCCTCTGATTATGTTTCTAGATCTGACTCTCTCCCCAAAAGTCTTTTCTATTCCCTCAAGGCCAATTTCTGCTCTCAGAGGGACATAATTTAAAAAACCAAAGTGAAACAAAACAACTGGCATTTCTTACTCCCCTAGCTAGTGTATGGTAGCATTGTGTAGCTACTGAGTCATACAGTCAATGTGGGGGGTAGATGACTGATGTTGAAGGGAGAGAATTTCAGTGATAAATTTGGCGACCTTGTAGGAGGATTTTGGAACATTAATTCTATAAAATACCACCTGAATTGTAGTTATGAAAATTACTTTTATGTACTAAATTGCCTAATTATCAAACTGAATGTAACATAGAGTTTAATGGCCTCTTAATCCTTCATAGGCTACGTATTCATTCCATCCTGTTCCCCTTGCCGTCTCAGTGGTCTTTTGGGTGGTGGCACAGTGTATGAGGAAGGAATAGAAATTAAGCCTGACACTTATGTAGGCCTGCTTTTTCTATTTCTCTCTGTGATGGCAAATAAAAATCTGTAAGCTTTTGTTAAAAATCAGGCCTATTAGGTTGTTTTTCCCCTGAAAGTCAAGAGAAGAAGCAATAATAGTTGGTGACTTAAGTCAATGACTATCTCTCACACTGGTGTTTTGACTATTATATTAGGAACCATGTGACTATACAGACCACCTTAATGTTTTTCTTTGATTTCTCTTTATTCATTCAACAGATAAAATAAGAATATAAGCCATTATGCTAGTTTTATAATAATATCATTGGCATCAGTTAAAATAAGTGCTATCATCCTCAGTTCTAAAAACTTCATTAGTATTAATTACCTCTTTCTGATAGTAGTTTAAGTGGGTTCTCTTGCTTTTTTTTTTTTTTTAAAGATTTTATTTATTTCAGACAGGTAGGGAGAGAGCACAAGCTAGGGGGCAGGGTAGGGGCAGAGGGAGAAGCAGACTCTCCGCTGAGCAGGGAGCCCAACGTGGGGGCTTGATCCCAGGACCCTGGGATCATGACCTGAGCTGAAGGCAAACGCTTAACCAACTGAGCCATCCAGGCTATAAAAGAGAGAATGTACTACAGGTCCTGGTTAGCAATACTTTTCTCTTTTCAAATACATTTGTTTTATTCGGAAATGTATCAGTTGAGCTCTGTGATATCATTTGACATTCAATTGTAATAATCAATTTCTTAATGATTAGAAATAGAGCCTGTAATACAGATGACATTGATAGCCATGAGTCAGAGGAGATAAATGTTCCCAAACCCTTTTCATGCCCCTTTCATCTAACTGTCTGCTAAGGCTTTTATTGGCCTCTTAACAAGGGCCTGATGCCAGAAAGAGAAGGTTCACTTTCTTCCTAGATATATAATTTGTTTGACTATGATTAAAAACCAAAATAATTTAGGAAAACAGTTCTGTAGCAGGAATCTCTGGCTTCTGGTAAAGTCCTCACTCTGTAGCCACTCACCCTTGCCACTTGGTCCAGATTCTTACATGGCTTATTATTGAAAGTAGCAGGATCTTATTAGCAGAGCTCCCTCCCTTCCTCTCTCCCTTCTTTCCTCCTTCTTTTCCTCTCCCCACCCCCCTACCCCTGTCTTCCTCTGGTACATGTGCATGTTCCTCTGATGGGCAGAATGCTAGAATTATTTTTAGATAACTAGAAAATAAATCTAGCGTTGTCTGATATTTAAGTACTAGGTTATTTAAGAGTTAGAATAGTATGCATCCTAAAGGCAGCATGTCATCCTGGAATAGGAGAAGGACCTTAATGGGAAATCTAGTGAAATCCAAATTAAGTCTATAGTTTATAGTTTTGTACCAGTGTTAATTCCTTAGTTTTAATAGATGTACCATGATTATATGAGGTTATGAGGTACTAACATTAGAGGAAACTGGGTGAAGGATATATGGGAACTCTCTGTATTATCTTTACAACTGTTCTAGAAATCTAAAATTACTTCCATGTAGAAAGTTAAAACAGTGTGTATCTGTACTAGTAACAAAATTATGAAGAAAAGAAAAGAGATGAATGCCACCAAAGTCAGGGTAATAATTACCTCTATAGAGGAGGGATGGGATTGTGTTTGGAAAGGGGCACGTGAAGACTTCTCAGGTGTTGGCAGTTTCTTGGAAGGTGATTACATAGGAATTCATTTGATAGTTACTTGTTAAACCATATATGTTTCATATACCATTTTGAATGGATATTATATTACCCAATAAAAGATTAGAAAATGATATGTGTCATTTCAGTTTAATAAGATTGCAAATCAGTAAGGGGAAACATTTATTCCTAATGCCTTGTATTTCTTAATTAAGAGTTTGTAAAGAATATTTTCTTTGATGTGGCCATGAAGTTTCAGCTATGAAATATCGCCTCTCTTAGTCATGATTTCGTGTAATTTGTTTAGGTAGAAATATTGAAGTACAATGATCCTTTTGCTCCTGGTGGAACAGTTGTTGTTGCAGCAAGTGATTCAGGTAAGGAAATAATTGATCAGTTTCTTTGAACAGTAAATATGACTTTTCTTTAAGCTTCTTTTTCTGGTCTCCAAATATATTTGTCCTGTTTACTTACGTAAGGCTGTAAAATTATTGCATAGTTATAGCCAATTGTAATCTAGCAGTAATAATGGTGGCAAGTGTTGGCATATCACTTTCTACTTTTCTTATCCTTTATTTATCTCATTTATTATTCATGTTAAAGCTCTTACTAGATGGGAGTGGGAGACAGGCTTCCAGTTATGGAATGAATAAGTCATGGAAATGAAAGGTACAGCACAGGAAATATAGTCAGTGGTATTCTATTATTATAAAATAGTGTTGTATGGGGACAGATGGTAGCTATGCATAATGTATAAACTTGCCCAATCACTATGTTGTACGCCTGAAACTAATGTCACAGTGTGTGTCAGCTGTACTTGATTAAAAAAAAACTTACTAGAATATGTACTCTAGCCAGTAAAACCAATACAATTTTTTTTTTCCTTGATAAAAGGCAGCGTTGGCAGTTTCAAAGTCAGCAATGACTCTTATAGATCTTGGCCTAAAATTAAAAATTGCTTCCAGTAGGTGATGATAATAGCTTTACAAATAGTGGATAAGATATTTAATGATATAGAGAAAATCGAAATGTTACTCTAGCATCCAGTCTTCACGCTTTATTTATGGCAGCTAATTTTCCATTTATCCTTGTAAGTAATATTTCCATTTTAAAGATCAGGAAACTGAGGACCAGTACTTTAAGTAACTTGATCAAGATTATATAGTTTACTAGATTTGAACCAGGTGAAGCCAGGATTCAAAACAAAGTCTGACAGAGACTAAAAGCTTCTGCAACTTTCTCATTACTCATTTAAAAATAAAACAGACCAACTATTGTGTAGGAGAGCAGGGAATTAGAGGGAAGTGGACTCAAACCTGTAAATACCTCAAGTATCATGCTGATACAGGATTCCTTATTTTTCCAGATGAAAATAAGGTGAGTTATTCAGTACACAAATTTGCTGATGTGACAGATTTGCTGATGTGCTGAAGTTGAGGATCATGAGCATAGAGAAAGATTAGTAGAAATGCCTTCACAATTTAGATTTCTGGTATTGTACAAATTAAAACAAGATGAGATTTAGCAGTGTGCGTTGTTTTCAGGTTGAAATTTAACTTCCAAAATGAGTAACAAAAAGGAATTGAATATAAAAAGCAGATATGTAGAAAACAAGATTTAATGTAGTGCTGGGTATTGATTTAAACCAAAACTTAGAATAACATCAAATAAGATTTTTAAAAGTCTTATTGTAGTAACAGTGGTTAAATTAATATATTTTTAAAATACATGTGCTTTTTTTAGACTCCCATTATTGAGCTGATGAATTAATATATAGCTAGGGATATTGTATGATTAGAAAGGATAACCTAAGAAAATGAAAAGTTAATATATTTATACAGGTGACCCTTGAATGATATGGGGGTTAAGGATGCTGACCCTCCCCCCACATGCAGTTGCATATCTCCATATAACCTTTGACTCCCCAAAACCTTTACTAATATCCTGCTGTTGACTGGCAGCCTTACCAATAACGTAACCAGGCAATTAACACATATTTTGTACGTTACATATATTCTTATAATAAAGTAAGCTAGAGAAAACGTTATTGAGAAAATCATAAGGAAAATACATTGACGGTACTGTGCTGCATTTATTGAGAAAAATCTGCATATAAGTGAATCCACACACTTCACACCCATATTGTTCAAGGGTCAACTGTAATTAACTCTTGACTGAAATGGTAATTGCCATGAAGTTCATTAAAGCTGCAAAAATTTAAAGGAAAGGGAGATCACCTCCATTTAGGGTAAGTTATGAATGGTTTCAAAGCAGAAGGTAGCTTTTGTTGTGCAACCATCACAAATCCAGTTTATCTACTTTTTTTTTGCCTATGCTTTTAGTGTCATACCAAAAAAGTATAGCTAAATCCAATATCATGAGGGTTTTCCCCATGTCTTCTTCTAAGAGTTTTATAGCTTTAGCTCTTACATTTAGGTCTTTGATGCATTTTGAGTTAATTTTTGTATTTCTTGTAAGAGTCTTACTTCATTCTTTAAGAGTGGATTTTCAGTTTTCTCAGTACCATTTGTTGAAAGGACTTGACCTTTCCCCATTGAATGGTCTTGGTATCCTTGTAGAAAATCATTTGACTATATATGCAAGTGTTTATTTCTGGACTCACTCTTCTGTTCCTCTGGTGTAAATGTCTATCTTTGATACCTGTAACTTTGTTATTCTTTTTCGGGTTCCCTTGAGATTCCATATGAATTTTAGTATGAATTTTCTATTTCTGCAAAAAAATGTCATTGGGATTTTGATACAGATTGCTTTGAATCTGTAGATTGCTTTGGTTAGTATTAACATCTTAACATTTTCCAATCCATGAAGTGGGCTGTCTTTCCATTTAATTGTATCTTCTTTAATTTCTTTCAGAATGTTTTATAGTTGTCAGCATACATGCTTCCTTGGTTAATTCTTGAGTATTTTATTCTTTTTCATGCTATTGTAAATGAAATTGTTATCTTAATTTCCTTTTCAGATTGTTCATTGTTAATATATAGACATGCTACTGATTTTTGTGCATTGATTTTGTATCCTGCTACTTTGCTGTTTATTCTAAACAGGTTTTGTGGAATTTTACGGTTTTCTACATGTGAGGTCATGTTGTATGCAACAGAGATAATTTTACTTTCTTTCCAATTTGAATGCCTTTTTTTTTCCTTGCCTAGTTACCCTGAGTAGGACTTCTGTGATGAATTGAAGTAGTGAAAGTGGGCGTCGTTATCTTGTTACTGATTTTAGAGAAAAAATTTCAATCTCTCACCATTGAATAAGATGTTCACTGTTGGCTTTTCATATGTGGCTTTTATTATGTTGAAGTAGTTTCTTCTTTTTCTAGTTTGCCAAGTGTTTTTATCATGAAAGGATGTTGAATTTTGTCAGACGCTTTTTCTGCATCAATTAAGAGGATAATGTGGGGTTTTTTTTCCTTTATTCTGTTAATGGGGTGTATTATATTGATTGATTTTCATATATTGAACCATCCTTACATACAAATGAGCACCTGTATCTTCCTAGTCTGCCATTTAGCTTGCGTCTTGATTTGAATGAGAATCTTAGAACCAAAAACTTTTTTAAAAAAGATTTATTTATTTGAGTGAGAGAAGGGGTGCATGCACATGCACAAGTGGGGGAGGGGCAGAGGGAGAGAATCTTCAAGTGGACTCCCCGCTGAGCAGAGCCCCATGTGGGACTCAGTCTCACAACCCTGAGATCATGACCTGAGCTGAAACCAAGAGTTGGTCACTCAACCAACTGAACCACCCAGGTGCCCCCCAAAAACTCTTTTTAATTGGATGGGCTACATATTAGTGTGTCTGGGGCAGAGTTACACAGACCTTCCACAGATTCAGAAATACCAGAGGTCTGAATTTTCTTTTTCTTTTTTTTTTTTTAAACCATACCCATAAGATCATCCAAACTTCGTTTTTGCATTTTCCTCATTTAATCTTTACAATGGTTATAGAGACAGGTACCGTTCGTTCTCATTTTAAGGATGAGAAAAATGAGACTTAGGTCAAGCAATTTGCCCGAGGCTGTAGTAGTTGTTGCCATGCTCAGTGTCCAGTCCATGTCTTATTTCAGAGCTCATTCTATAGTCACTTCATTATGGAGCCTCTGCCTTATCTTCTCATCCAATCCTGAAAATATAAAAATGGTAGTAAGGTGATGCCACAGATTGTTTTTCTGTCAGTATTGCTGCCTTTGTTAGAGCTGGAAAGACTCTTACACATGCTATGGGCCAGAGTTTTCATATTATTTTTCACAAAACTAGCTTCCAGAGAGGTCTTCAGAGAGTTGGCAAATTATTGTTTCATATTTTTTAAGTGTCTTTAAATTTTTTAAAACTGCAATTTAATTAAATGTATGCATTCATAAATGTTACAAACCATATTAACATATTGTAGTGCATTGGTGCTTTAAAGTAGTGTCAGGTTAAGTGGTTTTTGTGCAAACCTCTGGATAAAAATTACTTTAAACTACTCAGATTGCAAGACTCTTGTTTAAAAATGTATATAACTACTTCTTTGGGTGAATTGTTTTTCAAATAGAGCAATCAAAACTATCCGCAGAAATAAGTTCAACTCCTGACTTTAAACATTTGTGTTAATCAAAATTACTTTGTTTTCACTGTCATTGTGATAAGTAAATAATATAAATTTGAACTTAAGATGATTTTAGAGTTAAGGTGCCTAGGTGGCTCAGTCTGTTGGGCAGCTGGCTCTTGGTTTCAGCTCAGGTCATGATCTCAGGGTCCTGGGATCAAGCCCTGTGTTGGGCTCCATGTTCAGCAGGGAGTCTGCTTGAGGATTCTCTCTCTCCCTCTCCCTTTGCCCCTCTCCCCAGCGCGCTCTCTCTCTCTCTCAAATAAATAAATAAATCTTAAAATGATTTTAGAGTTAATTTTTAAAATCCCATTTATTTGTTTCATATATTGGAATTTCATTTAAGATTTGAAACTGTTATCAAGCCTTATTTCCTAATATATGAAAGGAAAAGCTAAGCCCCAGAGGCACTTATCAGTTTGCTTCTCAATCCATGCCCATTGATTTTCCTCTGTGTTATCCTGCCTCTTTACTTATCTACTATGTAAGTGAGAAAAAAGAAAAAAAAAGAAATCCTTGGGAACCCAAAATTTCATAAAGGGTACTGGGAGTATAGGGAATATAATCAGATGAAAAATGTTAAAAAATTAAAGCATTTTAGTAAGAAACTTGTAGAAGATTCATGAAAGGCTCTTGGGGATTGGCGGAGATAATTCAACCTTACTATGCTCTTATTTCAACAACAACAAAAATAATTAGGAGTGGGTAATTTGAAACAATCACAAGCAGTAACTATGGAAATCATCAAGTATAGTAGCTTTTTGGTCTGA